GATTCAACAATCTCATTTTCATATTTATACTGATTAAACACTACAATTGAAATATTGTCTGAACATAACTGATACACAACAAATGCTATGCACTGTATCATTTGCAAATGCTGAGCAATCAAATTAAGCGATTGATCAAACCAAATAAAATGGGATCTCAACAATGGAGAAACAGTGGTGGGATTTATAGTAGCTATGTTGATGATCACAAAATGAATCATTTATACGGGTAAACGTGTTTACTTCCGGTGTGCATTGACAACTTATTAAATAATACCAGTGGATATGTAACACTGGTCTACAATATGTCCTAAAGTCTCAACTGTCATACAATCTACTAAAATATTAATTAATTAGAACTTACCGCAGTAACGTAAGTCCATGGGATCATCAGTACAATAATGATAAGAATGACGATAATGACATAAAACATAAACGAGCTAAAATAACTGACCAAATCACGTTTAATGTTTATTCCAAACATAAACAATAACACTGAGAGAATGATGGCCAAAATCCAACTGATAAATATGAACATTCCTTCCACGTTGATTGAAAGACAGGTTATCACACCCGCGAAGTTGAAGGTCTTGAAATGAAGGGAAAAACGAAGATTGTCATAAAGACATATATTTTCCATTGAACTATATGTGCGAACGTACAGGTCAAGTAAATGATTTCGTCGAAAAGATAATTTCATTTGTTTAATTCACTTCTACATATTCAATGACAATGAATTATTTTATTTAATAAGTTTTGAGATATTGCTCATCGGTAAAGTAGAAGATCACTAGTCCTAAAGACGATATGAAGCTAACTAATTAATTAGCAGACATAACATTTATCTAGTTCTATAATAAGTAACTTGACAAAACAAAGAGAAATTGTTTTTTTTTTTTGAAGTTAGATCATTTTACTTTCATATTTCTATAGTATCAAATCCACATTTGTAGATTCCAATACCAACATACACTTACAACCTGTTTGTCATCTAATTGTCCGTTTATGTTGCCTATTTCATGAGAAAATTCGTAGGAAAAATTCCTGCCTAAACAGGAAATTTAACAGATTTTTCGCTGTTACTTCTGATAATGTAGTCGGAACAGAATTACGCTTGATAGTCAGGTACGAAGTTCTACGTTGTTCTGACTGATCGACTGACTATCTTGAACCAGAAATTCTTTCCACCACTCAAAATTATTTTGAATTGTATGTTGTTTTTAGCGTAAATTTCTTTACATTATGATCAAAATACTATCTTATGAAAACATAAATTATCAGTTGGACAATATGTTAACTGAATTTCCTATGTTACGAATTATATGAATATTATGAATGTCATGGATATTATTTGCCTTAAAACGGTACTAGAACAACACCAATCAAATATCATAATTTTCCTCACAGATGACTAACGATTACACTTTTAGTTATATTAAGAAATATCCTATGTATAATAAATATTCAACAAGCTCAAAGGGTTATGCTTTATAATTAAAGTTCATAACAAGTAAATTTGTTTCTACAAAGACACCTGCGAACTAATCTAGTCGTAGATAAAAGAGTAAATAAAATCACAACACCCATGTAGCCTATTTCTCAACTGTATTTTATTAACCACAACAAGAGAAAAAACCAGTTTCATAATTCACTATCTATGTATTTGAATACAAAATAAAGTTGTACATTCTTTTCAATATATATCAGGAGGGTGTTTTTAGAGATTGTAGTAATTTCAATCGTTGAGATCATGAATCAATTGAAACTAGATCACCATGGAAAACGTTGAAGCATTAGATGGCCGTTTTATCCTATTGTGGAACTCCTCAATAATGCACATCCACAATCCCACCCTGCAGGATTCGAAATCAGGATCCATCCAGTAATTCCAAGTTTTCTATGGTGATCTAACTTCAATTAACTCATGATCTGAACTATTGAAATATATATAAATTATGATGATCAAGATGATGATGATGATTATATTGGATTCCAAATATGCCACATTATATTCATATTTAATGGATTTTTAAACATTTCTAACCAATGTTTATATCCTGTTGTATGAGGAAATTGAAAACCAATATTGATTTCACCTAATATTTGTTTTATATAATATAATTGAATATAAATTTGTATATCTTTTAAATGATTAGATTTTTTTAAATTTACATAAATAGTATGATTAAAATAGAAATTTTTTACATTATTATTATTATTATTATTATTATATAATGTACTAATCATTTTATGTTTAATTATTTTTTTAGAAATAATGACATAAACTATTACATAAACTTTATCCTTATTCCATAATGATGATTGAATAATATTTTCAAGTTTTAGATTACGTAATTCAATTAAACGAATATGAAGACAATATGAATTATCATTATTATTACCATTATTATTACTGTTATTATTATTATTATTATTACTATCATTATTACTATGATTATTATTATTATCATCATCATTATATTGTAAACTAATACATATTTCACCTAAATCCGATAAATTAATTGTATATAATTTTAACATTTCTGTAATTAGATATTCTTGATTAAAATATAAATTTGTATTCATTTTATTAAGTAGTATATCTATATATCCAATACATTGATCTTGACCAATAGAATCATTGATATATAATTCAATACATAAATTTGTTTGAAATAATTTAGATTGTAATATATTAAATGTAAATATTTCATTCCATATTGGTTTTAATTCATTAACATAATGACTTATTCTTTGTTGATAATCTAATATAATCCAATGATTATCATCCCAAATTAATAAAGTTATTATTATATATGTATAATAATTAATTAATTCTAATGGAAATTTTAAATTATCCGCATTTATAATTTTTATAATTAATGTATTGGATATTGTACAATAATTTAAACTATAATTTAATATACCTTGTATTGTATAAAGTTGATTAGATTTAAATGATTGAAATTGTTTCTTATCTTTATTAATTGATATTAATGTTGAATGTTTATTGAACAGTATGTTCATTATTATTTCATTTTAAATAGAATTACATAAAGTGTTATTTTGATAAACTGATGTTCTTCTGATTTGTTATAAATAACTAACTGAATATACAAGTTACGGTTAGTTAAATGAATAGGATTATGATGCTAGTTTTACTATTCGTGAAACCACTTCACTGTCACCGTTGGTTCAGAGCTCGACTGAAGGGAGAGGGTTAGACAAAAGGTTAGCAACTTTAACTCATGAATAAAATGTCGATCAGAAAAATCATGATCGTAATTTGTGCCATATATGTTTATGGTTATCGTTTGTAGGGTGAAATAGTCAGTTGTAGAGAGTGATTGAGTATTTCATCCAAAGCTCAATTCATCTACCTATACAAAGTCACTTATACATCTCTCCTATTGAATAGTTCAGAGACTTACTGACTTGTTGACTAGTGATTACTAGACAAGTTGTATGAAGTGCAATATAAAATGATTTATACTATAAATATTACTAAACGAGATTACGTTTACTTTACTCGCATAATACAAACGTGTTACATACAATTGTAATAAAGTTTCATATCTGTCAACATTGAATATTCTCACTTTTAATATCATAGAAGTTCTAAATTTTTATAACTCGTGACCTGTGTGCCCTGTTAATATATTAGGTAATGACACCGCCAATTAGAGAGCAGTGATTTATCGATCAGACCAATGACTTATAATACCCGTACGAGCAGTCTAGAGTCCTTATTAGTCTTGCTTTACGCCTAGCCTAGCTTATTAAGTCCAGAATACAAATCTCAGCCTATGCAATATGAATCACTTATTTCAAGCATTCTGGGTTTATATACTAATCATACCAATAAAATAGGAAACAACATTTTTGCAAGATTTGCCTAAATATGGCTGTGAATGTGGAAGGTAGTATTTAATAGACACGGCATAATTCAACAATGGTAAATCGTCTTATAATGTTCATAGGTCAAAATAAAGCTCATAAGAAGAAGAATATGAATGTGAATAGTTTAGATGTTTTACAATTATACGATAAAAATATATACATAGTATTGGTCCATAAATGGATGCCAAAAGTTACCATTCATTATGCTTATCAGGACATAACAGAATAAATAAATTAACGTTCAATTCTTATACACGTTTGTACTTAGGATGTGATCTCATTGTCTCCTCACGATCTGTTAACTGTTTCCTAGTCCTTACAGAAGATAGAAAAATACTTCGACCAAGATTTCAAGTCAGTTGGCTGAGTGATATGGTTTCAAATCAAATGTGGAGCATCGATTCTCGCAATATTTCAAGTACATCTAGTTAACAATTACGAACTAACACAAAAGCTATATTAAACAGGGCTACACGTCGACTATGTTTAACTGTCTTACAGTTTCATGAATATTATAGAGCAATTTGCTTATTGATCAACACATCTAGATTTCAAACATTCGATCTCAGATTCAAATCAAATTTACCCAGTTCAGTTTGAGTAAGTGACTGATCTCACTAGACCTCACCCAAAAGACATGCAACAGAGCCAACCACATAGATATTCACTTTGTAAACAAGTTGTAGTGTTAGTTATTATCATGATGAATTATTACTTTGAGAATAAATTATGCATGAACTCAAGGCTCTAGTAGGTACACACATTTTCTAATCCACCAAAACAAACTCGTTTCAGAAATGACATTCATTCCACTCTACCCATTAATAACACGATTATTATATTCAGTAACTTGAAGATCATACAGACCTGATTTGTTCAGTTAACACTCATGTGTGAATTACTGTGTGTATTTAATGTTGATCATTTGAAAATGAGATGTTTAATCAAATCAATCTCAGTATATCAACTCATATCGATAATCGCTGTCTCATTTATTGAAGTATATAATTGTTAAGTGGATCATGCTAGTAACCACTAACTAACTATCTGAACTTTGATCTGATCAAAAGTCGTATTGTTCTTTATTCTGTATTTAATAGTCACTGATCATTTTCATTTGCATCAAGATTATAAACGAATGTTGATTGAGTTGATCAGCTTTAACGAGCACTGCTTGTGAACACAACTAATGTTGCACAAACATCCAAATGAAGGTTTGTATTTACATTAATGTATTTTTGATTAACATTGTTACGAATACTCAAGTTAAACCGATTGAATGATTTAATCATATTTCGATAATTTAATTGGTATCATGAATGAGACTACACAAAATTCTCCTATTTCATTTGTACATTCCTGGAATGTTTATTCATTGAATTTATTGATCATCAGATGAAAGCCTTGAAATTGCTCATTTGTAACGATGTCACTAGACATTTATATATTCTAGAAACCGGATTTGATGATGTTATGTGCATACTCCCCAGACAAGAAGTATTAAGACAGGACTTTATTTTTTGAACCAATCAGTGTGGTGTAAGATAGTGATTATTGTCTCTGAGAGAATTCATCACATTAACATCATTTAAGCATAAGATCTGATATCAGTTCATGAAGAAAACCTAATTTTAGTTATCAACACTAACCTCTAACATTCACACTCAATCGTATTCCTTCACACTAATTTATGACGAAATTTCGACCGCAGTAAATGATCGAATTTTTAAAGGATACATAATTATCTCTCAAATATCGTTGATTACTCATAGTCTATCCACCGGTTTTAATTGTTTGGTAGCAGATCACATTGATAAATTTGAATAAATAAAGAACAATTAAAACAGGAGACATAACATGAATTCATTAGATGTCGTGGTTTCTCATTATCTGATTAAACCTTAAACATTATATGGTATAGTGATTGAATGATATTCATTGGAATCCGACATTTAATGATTAATAGTATTGTGCTGAGGTTTGAAGCAACTGTTGAGAAATACCGAACTATAGTAGATCCATTTTATCACTGCAACGTAAATTGACTTTGCTTTGCTCAAAGATGATAAATCTCTCTGTAACATGTTTGTTTACAATATTCACATATCATCTCAGTACTAGTCAATTCAGATTGTTTTATATAATCAGTTGCTTAATTCTAATCTTATATCTCATCCTCTCTTATCAGGATCACATATCTACAATGATGGAATCAAATATAATCATCAAGTGTTGATCTGTAACGACTCCACATTATCTGGAATGATTGATCCAGTACGCATTCGATTAATATTGAAAGTAGAAATCAGTTGAAAATATTCATTTCAGAATGTAGGTGTTTCTAACCAATATCCTTCAAGTCTTTCTATCAATGTTCATGACTGCAATAGTGTGGGCAATGTCTGTCACTAACAAATAATTCATATGTTTACTAATCATGTTTTAGAGATGATATCGTTATAATTCTTAACGAACATGATTGGATTCTTTATATTTTAAGGTAAGTGTATTAAATGTGAATTGATCATCATATATTCGAAATGCATTTGGTAAGCTGGTATTGGAATCACAATTTTCTATCTCTCTAAGGTGGAACCTCCATATCCATCTACCCTGTTGAAGAACCGAACACTCGCTTTTCGTCCTCTCAATTTCGTAAACAACATACCAGCCGGGAGAGAGATAGCAGTGAGTATGACTTCTCTGGTAATGGTTGTACTCGAGTGGTCATATGAGAGCATTTCGAGAGTGAAAGCTGATTCTCCCCACTGTTAGTCACACACGGGCATTGATCAGCTAGTATCGCACACTTCATGCACGAATAGAGTACACACAAAAAATATGCATTATCATGTTAAAATGCGTTAAATGACAAATTTATTATTATTATTATTACGTTTACATAAAACATAATAAGAAAATATCGTGAATACCACAAATCTAGTATGAATAGCATTGAAGATATTTCAGTTTCGTCGATTTTTCATGTGCATTCAGACGGCTTCATGGAAAATACATCAAGCATAGTGAAGTTTTACATAATAATCTTTCCTTTAATGTACATGATTGGATGATAGTGCATCACTGGGTTAATACGATTCGACCCACATCATTCATTGCATTATTTTCTGAACTACATTTTCAAAATTGCATCTAGTTATGTTATTGAATTGATTTTGACAATTTATCATTTACATTACAGTTTCATTTCGATTGGTGCAACCATTACGATTATCCTTATTCAGAGATTTCCACATTTGAAATACTTCACGGATTTCCTTTACGTACTATTTGTAAGTTGTATTTGTTATCAATGGACGAATGTATGTAAAACTTTTGTCAAAAATAATATGAACTTGATTTAATATTACTGTATCTCAATACGATTTCACATCATTATGTTAGTCGTTACATAAACTAGACTATTCTGTGGATGTGCAAAATGAGTTATTGATGTGGCTAGATATGGACAAACATGTATTGTATTTGATGACCAATTCATCAAACGTCGGGTTTGGTTTATGCGCTCTCGGTTGACTGATTCACTCTCAACCCGATGACTGACGAGGTGGATACATGTGTCGAGTCCATCGTCTTTATTTGTTAAGTTTGTATTTAGAATCTGTCAGAAACTTGTACATACAATCAATATTTATGAATACTTTATCAACTATAAACCTTTCATCACAAAATATCCGATATATTTGGTAGTCATCACAGATCACAAATTATGGATACATGAGAATTATATCGATCCAGAATTCTGATGGCTTCTGAAAATGTTTTCAATGGTGAAGACACAGATTAGAAAAGTGTGTCAACCAAAATGTCCAGTACACAAAAATGAACATGTGCATGTACTACGAAGTTTATTTAGTACAGAATTCGTGTCTTAAATAGACGACTTATCTACAATCACTCAATGATAAAATGTATTCAGCATGTCCTACCATCTAAATAATTGTCACATAAAGATATTTTTCTCCCTTGACGTTAATTTATCACAAATGTTCTGTCAAATAAAGACAAAATTGAATAGGTGGTTTCGCTGAAATAAGTGTCAATTAAAATAACCCATAGTGTCATTGAATAAGAAAGAGAAAATTCTGCGAATAAAATTATATTTTCGACCAAATCATCTACATAAGCCCTACATGATAATCCTCTTTATTCCCTTTACTCCAAGACATTCAGCTTTGCTGGTGTGATAACCTATCTTTCAATCTACGTGAAGGGAATGTTCATATTTATCAGTTGGATTTTGGCCATCATTCTCTCAGTGTTATTGTTTATAGTTGGAATAAACATTAAACGTGATTTGGTCAGTTATTTTTGGTCATTTTTGTTTTATGCCATTATCGTCATTCTTATCATATTTGTACTGGTGATCCCATGGATTTATCAAGTTATTGCGGTGAGTTTATATTAGTTAATATTTTAGTAGATTGTATGACGATTGTGATTTGATATCATATTTTAAATCAGTGATATATATTCAGTAATATTGTTCTATGAGTTGGGAATACACACTAAAAGCCAGCACGCTCACTCTTATACATGATCCATTATGTGATCATCAGCGTAGCTACAACAAACCCCACCACTGTTTCACCATTTTTGAGATCCCATTTTATTTGGTTTGATCAATCACTGAAGTTGATTGTAAAATATTTCAATGTGATACAGTGTTTTACAGAGCATATCATTTGTTGTGTATCAGTTATGTTCAGACAATATTTGAATTGTAGTGTTTAATCAGTATAAATATGGAAATGGGATTGTTGAATTGAAGATTGTAGATGGGAGCATTTCTTTCAATATTGATTATTCACAGATACCATTCTAAGTGTATTGGTGAGATGAATTATTGAGAGTACAGCAGATCAGTTCATAATTCACCATTGATAATTGTTAATGATTATTATGAACCAAATTCTATCAGTGTTCAAAGAGAACACCATAGTCAACATTGTTAGTTCATGTATTTATGTCATCAGTGTTGGAATCAATGGTCATCAAAGATAGATTCATTATTTCATCCTGTGAGTCTAACGTTCCTATTCAGACACTTCCAGTTCACCGTCGTGTGGATTAAATTGAAAAATTATCTAATCGAGTTCTCGTTCATCCTGTGCATTGATAAATCCTCGAGATAAAGTTTGATTTACCGTTGATCAAATATGAACAGAGATTCATTGACGATCACGTTCACACTGGTTACCAAATAGCACTGCACTCAGTCTCATTTTCATTCATTGTTTTCATTTGTGAACACTCACATTTCCAATTTCCTTCTTATCTCTCACAGTAATACAACGTGTACGAGATTGATTGAATTTAGTGTCACAAAAATGAACTTGATGTCACATGTGATTGAGTGGTGGCTCGAATGAAACCGACAGTTGAATGGTTGATTTGCCTTCTGATAATTGATTTAACTTTGAATTTCAGGTGACGTGGGCGATTGGTCCCCTTGTTCTAGCCATCGTAATTCCGGTGAGTGAATAATAGTTTGAATGAAATGAGATTACTTTCTATTCACCTTCCTTCAACACATATCGATGCATAGAATAATATAAGATTAAACCCTATCATTTCAGTGAGCTATCAATATAACTATGTGTTATGTTTCACTGAACTACGTGTCATAATTATTTCTATGGGAAATTTCAACAAACATTTGTAGAGATATTAAGATACTGAATTTAATTATTAGCTGTTGCGTTATATTTGGGTATACTAATGAATTGAGAAACCTGCTGTTTCAGTTTATGCTTAAGTAACATACCAACTAATATTGGACTTCTTCAACATATCTCCTGTAAATGATGTAGATTTATTTATTATTAATGTGTTTAAACACATAAACTGAACTACACAAATGCACCAGATGGATATCCGCCACGTAAATCATTCGATTCGTAATGGAGCTATGATACCGCTTGGGTTCCTAGAATTTCCCTGGCAGTGGTTGTATACGCATGAACATGTGAGAGCATTTCGAGAGAGGGAGTTAACTCTCTTCACTCTCGATCGTACCAAGGCATTTGGGGAATGACAAATACTAGCAGAGTGTAGGAAGAGATATTCAGATAGTGTTTACATCATCACTTTAACATTCATCAAATTATCTAATCATATTTCACTTACAAACAAGTCAGTTAGTGAATTACAATTCAAAATCATTTGATATTAGATAAACAAATAATCAGCAGTGAATATTGTGAATTTCAATTTGTACATTGTTATTGTGATTTTAGGCTAGTTTAATTGAAGCTCAAATATTCTGTGGAGGAAGAGCAATCTACTACAGATCTGAAGATTTCATATTTGCATCAATGGTTCATTTGTTCTTACTCACTTTCTCATATTCTGGATTTATTTTACTGTTTCTCAACATTAAATTATCTTAGATATTGACAGTTTGTGTGATGTCTCAATGTGATATTTCCACTTGTAATTGTGTACTTTTGATGATGCAGTAGAACAAGAAAGAATGATGAATATGAGAATTTCAGTGTTTGTTCACTTGTGTTCATTTCTATTTATTGTGTACGTGATTAAGCAGAATCGCAATTGAGAATATTCAGTTTTGAATGAACTGATCACTGTGAGTTTGTTTTGTCAACTGTGAAAGGGAGTTTCTGTGAATCATCCGAACTGTAGTTTGTATTATACCGTTGATTTTGTGTAGATGGTGATTGGGAATGTGGAAGTAATATAGTAGTATCCTGTTGATGATATTATTGAATTGTTCGAAAGAAATTGAATATACTGTGAATTGCAAATGTCTCGACTAATACATGGTGTTCGTTCATTTCATCAATCTCAACATTAGTTGTATCGAGAAAGTTAACAGTGGTTTCAAATGGTCAAAATTTTCTGTAAGAATTGACTAGTCTGGCAAATGCAGTATTGGCGAGAACTTAAGCATAAGTACTTACTTACTTGATGTTGATGTATAGTGATGAGTTCCACTCAACTGATTGCTCGAAGATGATCTGTAGTGTTGCAATTTGGTCTGTGCACGACCGATCCTTACGGAATCCAACATATTAATCTCGTAGTTGGGCGTCTACTGCGACCTTCATTTAAGCATAAATTTATTAAATTATTCTACACGTATGTAAGTTGTAAAAACAATGATGTGTCAATTCGTACTGTCCATGTTTTAAAGAGCTAAACATATTTTTAAGAATCCTCACATTGCTCCTACTTGATGGTAGAGTTCTCAACACAAATTGGCATCAACAATCATACAAAGGCGCCATTTGGCCATATAGACGAGTGAATTTAACCTAAAAATCAATGATGCGCCATCTGATTAGTTTATTGCTAAAATGCAGTCTTTGCAGGTGAAGGTCAATTTCAGGATTGAAGGTTTAAGCCTAAGAATTAGGGGTAGTGTCGATTTCCCACTCGAAATGCAAAATATTGATTCAGGATTGGGTTGCATCGACACCTGAACTAATCATAGGAAGTGAAGTAGTTGAGTGTGTCGACCGCTTCACTTATCTTGGGAGTTTAATCAACCTTTTTCGTCCAGTGTATGACCACATCTCTGCACAAATAAGGAAGGTCCAACTAGCTTTCGCCAACTTGCGTCGTTTATGGCGTAGACCAGATATCCATCTACCAACCAAAGAACCGATTTACTGTACAGCAGTTCGCTCCGTCATACTTTATGGCAGTGAAACATGACCGGCAAGAGTAAATGATATTCGTAAGTTACTACTATTCCACCATAGGTGTCTTCGAAGCATCGTCCGTATACTCTCGGACCACCGAGTAAGTGACGCGGTTGTTAGGAAACGGGTACTAACGTAGGTACTAGGATGGCAAATCAATTGATGAAATAGTGAAAATTCATCAGTTGAGATAGCTGCGGCATGTTTCACGTATGCCTAACCACTGACTGCCCCGATGAGCGATGTTTTATGGTGTGGGAGTATGTTGGAAGAAAGCTAGGGGCGGCCAGACAAAACACATGGCACAAATCCATAAAGTCACTGACAATTGGACTGAGTCATGTTGGTAGGTGTAGACTACATGGTTGGGATCCGCGAGACGATAGCAACCGATGGTTAGAGATGTTGAATGACATGGCTCAAAATCGTTTGCAATGGCGCAGGTGCATCCACTCTTTGTGTTCTCTCAAACTCTAATCTTTTGAATTCTTCATGTCCCTTTATTTTTTTCTCTTTCCAAATTTATTTCACTGAATTATACTTGTTGAATATCATGTTCAAACGCTAATCTTTCCGATTACTGCTTAAACGTTTACTACCTCAACTACTATGGGATTTGAATCGACAATTGTATCTCTGTGTTAATGTGGTATGGTAATTTGAACTGATGTACGTACGTACGTACGAAGTTCTACGTTGTTGCTGACTGATTGACTGACTATCTTGAACCAGAAATTCTTTCCACCACTCAAAATTATTTTGAATTGTATGTTGTTTTTAGCGTAAATTTCTTTACATTATGATCAAAATACTATCTTATGAAAACATAAATTATCAGTTGGACAATATGTTAACTGAATTTCCTATGTTACGAATTATATGAATATTATGAATGTCATGGATATTATTTGCCTTAAAACGGTACTAGAACAACACCAATCAAATATCATAATTTTCCTCACAGATGACTAACGATTACACTTTTAGTTATATTAAGAAATATCCTATGTATAATAAATATTCAACAAGCTCAAAGGGTTATGCTTTATAATTAAAGTTCATAAGAAGTAAATTTGTTTCTACAAAGACACCTGCGAACTAATCTAGTCGTAGATAAAAGAGTAAATAAAATCACAACACCCATGTAGCCTATTTCTCAACTGTATTTTATTAACCACAACAAGAGAAAAAACCAGTTTCATAATTCACTATCTATGTATTTGAATACAAAATAAAGTTGTACATTCTTTTCAATATATATCAGGAGGGTGTTTTTAGAGATTGTAGTAATTTCAATCGTTGAGATCATGAATCAATTGAAACTAGATCACCATGGAAAACGTTGAAGCATTAGATGGCCGTTTTATCCTATTGTGGAACTCCTCAATAATGCACATCCACAATCCCACCCTGCAGGATTCGAACTCAGGATCCATCCAGTACTTCCAGGTTTTCCATGATGATCTAACTTCAATTAACTCATGATCTGAACTATTGAAATATATATAAATTATGATGATCAAGATGATGATGATGATTATATTGGATTCCAAATATGCCACATTATATTCATATTTAATGGATTTTTAAACATTTCTAACCAATGTTTATATCCTGTTGTATGAGGAAATTGAAAACCAATATTGATTTCACCTAATATTTGTTTTATATAATATAATTGAATATAAATTTGTATATCTTTTAAATGATTAGATTTTTTTAAATTTACATAAATAGTATGATTAAAATAGAAATTTTTTACATTATTATTATGATTATATAATGTACTAATCATTTCATGTTTAATTATTTTTTTAGAAATAATGACATAAACTATTACATAAACTTTATCCTTATTACATAATGATGATTGAATAATATTTTCAAGTTTTAGATTACGTAATTCAATTAAACGAATATGAAGACAATATGAATTATCATTATTATTACCATTATTATTACTATTATTATTACTGTTATTATTATTATTACTATTATTATTATTACTATCATTATTATTACTATGATTATTATTATTATTATCATCATCGTTATATTGTAAACCAATACATATTTCACCTAAATCCGATAAATGAATTGTATATAATTTTAACATTTCTGTAATTAGATATTCTTGATTAAAATATAAATTTGTATTCATTTTATTAAGTAGTATATCTATATATCCAATACATTGATCTTGACCAATAGAATCATTGATATATAATTCAATACATAAATTTGTTTGAAATAATTTAGATTGTAATATATTAAATGTAAATATTTCATTCCATATTGGTTTTAATTCATTAATATAATGACTTATTCTTTGTTGATAATCTAATATAATCCAATGATTATCATCCCAAATTAATAAAGTTATTATTATATATGTATAATAATTAATTAATTCTAATGGAAATTTTAAATTATCCGCATTTATAATTTTTATAATTAATGTATTGGATATTGTACAATAATTTAAACTATAATTTAATATACCTTGTATTGTATAAAGTTGATTAGATTTAAATGATTGAAATTGTTTCTTATCTTTATTAAATGATATTAATGTTAAATGTTTATTGAAAGGGATTAGTTTATAACAAATTGATATGATTTCATAACAAATCATAATTAATAATATAATACTAAATAATATAAAGCAAATAAGAAAAAATATAGCTAATGATATATTTTCTACATGAAAAAACGTTAAAAGATCCATGAGGAATTAATCATTATTGTACGATGATCATGATCATGATGATGATGATGATAATTCAGTTCTGGATATAAAGTTTTGAATATGTTAAAAATCATTAACAGCATTAATTACCATGGTATTTCACTGTAGATGGATTTCGTAACGATCAGACCTAAGACATATATATATATATATATATATATATATATATATATATATATATATATATATATATATATATATATATATATATATATATATATATATATATATATATATATATATATATGACCTCAGATATTAAATAAAAAGAATTACTTCAACATACTCAACAACATGTATCATACCACTTGTAAGTTAAACGTTAAAGATACTGAATCATTTTAATTGTGAAGAATTGTTAAGTGTTTGAAGTGTGTACAGTTTACTTTTTTGTTGTCGTTGTTGTTGTTTTAAAGAGAATCAAATTAGATTATTACTATAAAACTTGAGTTACAGAAAATAAATGATGAAAACACTTATAACATAACAAGAGAAAATTAATTTGGAACAGATAACAGATAAACCAAATTGATTAGAAGAAGAAGAAGAAAAACAAGGTGATTCTCAAAAAAATGCATCATCTACATTTACACTTCTTTATATATTAACAACATATTAAGAGAAAGACACTATTAGAGTATGTTAGGAGAAAACTTTAATGCCTGATGGTATAAATCAGTAAAGTATATATTTTATTTTAGCTTTTTTTAAAAAAAGTAAATATTGACTTAGATATATTCTAACTACCCTACCGTAGAAGTCGTTGATTTTGAGATTGGGTACCACGAATTTAAATCTTTAGGAGAATATCAATTTCCTGAAAGTCTTGGACACAGTTCCTTATTAATTACTTTTAAATACAAAACATCAGGATCTTCTTAAGTTTAGTCTCTACAATAAGATGGTTAGCTGATTTGTATGACGATGTTGAGTATTTCAGCTTCATTAATATACAGAAGAGAAATTATACAAATCAAAGATGATTTATTTGAACTCAACAAACAAGTGACTATACATTTTACATTTTTAATGTGAAAATGAAACAACTAGATAGAATACGGTAGTGAAGTTTTATCGTTTTCTTTCAGGGTATCCGATTAGCATGACATCATTTGCTACTGTCAAAAGTAACATGGTCATGTAACACATATTTACTCTTACCAAATACTCAAGTGAAATCTTGACCGTTTTTTACACAAGAGTACATGATAATATGAATGTCTGCTGAGTTTCGGTATTTCTTACATAATTGATGAGTAAATGAATCACCTTTTTGTTATCTGAATTGACACATTAACGAAATCCATTGTTTCATACATTTAGTGCATCTTTTATTATTGGTCTGCCGTTCAACATTATCATGTTTGTAAGATATACATCTAATATACAATTTATATTCGGCTTTTATTACATTCACGCTGTATCAATAGGATTTATCTTCAGAATGTGTGGAAAGGTAATAGTATATAAATTTAATTAGCGTCATCATCACTCGATCATTATGAATTTAATATTGGGCTGTAAACCTTTAAACTTTAATATGTCATTTATATCCTTGTTGTCTAACAGCTATACAACACATGACATACTTCATTAAAGATTTTGAGTTATAATTTAGTTTGTCTACATGTGTTTAAGCTAGTTACGACAGAAACAAACTTCTTAATAAAGGTTATAAGTGTTATTGGACGAAAACAATCTGTATTTTGTTCCAGCTCACAAAGAATACACTGAATATTTCATTGGTTTGAATAAATCGAAGGGGGAGTTATACTGATAAAAAAACGTCATTGATGTTGGTCTTGTTAGTTTCAGTGGACACCAGCTAGGCGATGGAAACAGGATATCATAACACGGTTTGACGTGTAAAGAAAGCCCATTTCGAAGTTTTACATTACTCTATCTCCGCGTACCACCTCTATATCATCAAATACATCCTCCCACTTTAGATCATCCCTTTAACTTTTGTTTGTTCCTTATTTTTGCCACGATACATATTTTCCAACATATTCGTTTTAGCTCCGTACCCTCCTATCGGCGAGACTCTAATTTAAGGACGAGCCAATCAGAAGAGTTTGAGCAATTTCAAGGTCACGGAGCCGAGTTTAACGCATGATGCTGACATACGATCGGTTTACGGCGGATTTTAGAGATGAGGTTATTATTGAAAGGCTACAAGAATTAATGAAAAAGACAAAGAAATCGTCATATTCCTACTCAAAATACACAATGACATGCGGAGACATCACACTGAAACATCACACAAACTGTCAATATCTAGCATAAGTTAATGTTTCGAAGCATTAAAATAAATCCAGAATATGAGAAAGTGAGTAAGAACAAATGAACCATTGATGCAAATATGAAATCTTCAGATCTGTAGTAGATTGCTCTTCCTCCACAGAATATTTGAGCTTCAATTAAACTAGCCTAAAATCACAATAACAATGTACAAATTGAAATTCACAATATTCAATGCTGATTATTTGTTTATCTAATATCAAATGATTTTGAATTGTAATTCACTAACTGACTTGTTTGTAAGTGAAATATGACTGCATAATTTGATGAATGTTAAAGTGATGATGTAAACACTATCTGAATATCTCTTCCTACACTTTGCTAATATTAGTCAATTCCCAAATGCCTTGGTACGATCGAGAGTGAAGAGAGTCAACTCCCTCTCTCGAAATGCTCTCACATGTTCATGCGTATACAACCACTGCCAGGGAAATCCTAGGAACCCAAGCGGTATCATAGCTCCATTACGAATCGAATGATTTACGTGGCGGATATCCATCTGGTGCATTTGTGTAGTTCAGTTTATGTGTTTAAACACATCACTAATAAATAAATTTACATCATTTACAGGAGATATGTTGAAGAAGTCCAATATTAGTTGGTATGTTACCTAACCCTATAGGGAAACAGCAGGTTTCTAAATTCCCGAGTCTACCTTAAGATTACACAGTAGTTAAAGATTAATTTCAGTATCTTAATATCTCTACAAATGTTTGTTGAGATTTCCTATAGAAATAATTATGGTACGTAGTTCGGTGAAACAGATTCACAGTGTATATTAACAGATAACACATTGTTGTGTGGATAGCTCACTAAAATGATAGGGTTTAATCTTAACTTATTCGATGCATCGATTTGTGTTGAAGGAAGGTGAATAGAAAGTAATCTCATTTCATTCAAACTATTATTCACTCACCGGAATTACGATGGCTAGAACAAGGATACCGATTGCCCACGTCACCTGAAATTCAAAGTTAAATTAATTACTAGTGGGAAAATCATCTATTCATCTGTCAGTTTCCTTCAAGCCACCACTCAATCACATGTGACATCAAGTTCATTTTTGTGACACTAAATTCAATCAATCTCGTACACGTTGTATTACTGTGAGAGATAAGAAGAAAATTGAAAATGTGAGTGTTCACAAATGAAAACTCTGAATGAAAATGAGACTGAGTGCAGTGCTATAAGATAACCAGTGTGAACGTGATCGTTAATGAATCTCTGTTCATATTTGATCAACGGTAAATCAAACTTTATCTCGAGGATTTATAAATGCACACGATGAACGAGAACTCGATTAGATAATTTTTCAATTTAATCCACACGACGGTTAACTGGAAGTGGAAAGGCTACAAGAAATGGGACTACTACGAAGTTCTTGTATGTGTGTCTGCGGTTCTGAAATGACTGCAATGAAGTCTGAAGACCACCACGGCGAGATTATGTTCCGTTGTCCTTCATGTTGGAGGAAAAAGTCCGCTAGAACAGGGACTTTCTTTGCTCGATCGCGACCGAGATTGAGACAAATCGTGATAATAGTTGCAAATTGGGTAATAAATACACCAATAACACTGGCTGCGGCGTTTGCAGTTGTTTATGAAACTTCAGCAGTCCAGTGGTATGAGTACTGCCGTGACATATGTGCAACTAAAATAACACTTGTACACCAATCATACGGAGGAGTAGGATGTATCGTGCAAACAGATGAAACGGCAGTGAGAAAGCGAAAATACAACAGGGGACGTAGTATAAAGTAGGATTGTGTAAGTAGCATTTCCGTAAATATACTTGACAGGTACTTGGAATTTATGACTTTTTATACCGTATGCAATATGATTTCAAAACATCGGAAACTTTAGCGGACCTTGACAAGTTTTTAAATCATGTAAAGGAAGTATATTCACTGTGATCCATTAGTTTCTTCTAATATATTTCTACGTTATACTAGATGTCTTCTGATTGGCTAATACTCTCAAGGTCACTTAAAATTCGTTCAAAGGACGTCCCTAAATTAGAGTCTCGCCTAACCTATTCTAGAACAAATACAATCTTGACAAGACAATATCAAAGCATGGTTCTGCCGATTTTCAAGAGTACGGCAGGCACAGGAAAAACGTTAGAGCCGTTCGAAGCTGCCCGCGCTTTCGTTTCAACAACCTTGAACGGCCTAACAAGAGGCGGTCATTCCGTATTTCAATTGTCGGCATGATCAACACGCGTGAGCAGGTGATTGTCATGCAGGTCATACAGATAAGTTACGTCCCATCTATTTGATAATGGCCTCTCCAAGACCATTAAGCTACTTGAGGGAGCTGTCCTAAAAACGAGAATCCTACCTAATAACAACATTTAGGTGAAGTGTATCACGAAATAAGTTTAAGAAAAGTTGTGAAAACAAATATATTATTGGGAACGAGCGACACAATCGTTCGGTGAATAGTGGGCGAACGCCTTTACAACAGCTTTTCTTATTCAAGCTCTCACAACTAGTCAAGACAGTTCCTATTTGATTACTAAATAACTCACTGGATTAACTAACTTCCTTCTCCACCTGAACCCCTCTGTTTAAAGCCTGATTAGTC